TGCTGCTGCAGCTTTGCTGCTGCTGCTGCTGCTCGTTGGCGGTGTTTGGTTGAAATGATGCATGCAGACCGCTGAGGTGTACGTACACCCCACGGCCCGCCAAATGCAGAAAAGCAAAGATAGGCAAATTAGAAAAGTCAAATAAATAAAAGCAGCAAATAGAAAAAGAAAAGATAATTAGATTTAAAAGAAACAAATAAATAAATAATAAAAAGAAAAAGAAATAAATAAAAAAGAAGCAAATAAAAAGAAGCAAAGAGGGGCTGCGAGACGCGAAAGGCAAAAAGACAAAAAGATGAAAAAAAGAAAAAGAAATTAAAAAGAAATGGATTGACAGAAGTGATTGAAGACAATTAAAGAGACAAAACGAATAAAAAGAAATGAAAGGAAATAAAAAAGATGCAAAGAAACCGCAGGAAAGAGAAGCAACGCGCAGCAGCAGCAAGTAGACGAAGGAGCAGCGGCAGCAAGAGACAAATAGCAGCAGCAGCAGCAAAGAAGCAGCAGCAAGAGGACCCACCAGCAGCAGCAAAAGGAGACAAACAAAAAGCAAAGAAAGAGAGACAGTCGAAACAAGCCTGCTGCTGCAGCTGCTGCCGCGGAGCAGCAGCAGCTGCAGCAGCAGCGCAGCAGCAGCAAAGGCGGCGCACACAGGGGCCAATTTGGTCGATTTTTTCCGCATTTTTTAATTAAAATATAAATAAATATTTTATTTTTCATTTAATATCTCTCTGCCGCCTGTCGTGGCTCCGAGCTTTTTGATCCAAAGCTGACAAAAACTTTTCTGGATCCACTCGAGCATCGAAGCGGAAAGAGTCCTGGTCTGCGGTGTACAGACACCCCAAACAGCAGCAGCAGCAGCAGCAGCAGCAGCGATGCACAGTGTGCAGACACCGCAGCAGCCGCAGCAATCCAGAGCGTACAGACACCGCAGCAGCAGCAGCGGCAGCAGCGACGTAGAGTGTACAGACACCCCAAACAGCCGCAGGAGAGGCGGCAATGCAGAGTGTGTAGACACCAAAGCAGCAGCAGCAGCAGCAACACAGAGTGCACGGACACCCCAAACAGACGTAGCAGCAGCAGCAGCAAAACGGAGTGTACAGACACCCCAAACACCAGCAGCAACGCGAAATGCAGAGAGGAACGGCCAGCAGCAGCAGCAGCAACAGCACCAGCAGACGAGCAGCAGCAGAAGCAGCAGCAGCAGCAGCAAAAGCTCACGTTTTTGCTCATTCAGGTCCGCACTGCCTCCCTTCCTCCGCTTCCTCCGTGCTGCAGCAGCGCAGCTAACAGCAACAGCGGGAAGTTTCAGCAGCAGCAGCAGCAGTCCGAAACAGCAGCAGCAGCAGTCAGAATCAGCAGCAGCATTGGAAACAGCGGCAACAGCGCCAGGACAAACAACAGCAGCAGCAGCAGCAGCAGCAGCAAAATCGCTCCTGAGCAGCAAAACCACAACAGCAACAGCACCAAAACCGCGCCTGCAGCAGCAAAACCACAACAGCAGCAGCAGCAGCAGCAGCTTGCCCTGGTTGTTGGTGTCGGGGTAGCTGGGCATGAGTTCTGTGGGCTGGGGCTTCGGACTTTCTTTAAAATAGTTGTGCTGCAGTGCAGCAGCAGCAGACAGCCGCTGCTCGGGGTCCGGCCGCAGCAGCTGCTGCAGCAGGTCCAGGCCCAAGTCCGACAGCACCCCGCCATTCTGCATGCAAAGCAGCAGCAAAATTAATTAATTAATTGACTAATTAATTAATTAATTAATTAATTAATTAATTAATTAATTAATTAATTAATTAGTTTGTTTATTATTTGGGTTTTTTGGAGTCAGGTATTTGCTTCGGGAAGAGCAGCAAAGATGAAAAACGGCGATGCAGCAACGCAGACGCGGAAAAGTGCAGCAGCAGCAGGAGTAGCGGCAGCAGCAGCAACAGCAGAAACAGCAAAAGCAACAGAAACAACAACAGCAACAACAGCAAAAGAAACACCAACAGCAACAACAAGGACAAAGCAGCAACAAGAACAACAACAACAGCAACACCAAAGCAACGCCAAAGCAACAACAGCAACAGCAACAGCAGCAGCAGCAGCAGCAGCAGCAGACCCCCATGGTGAGGTGTTTGGAGGGGGGCGGGAAAACTTCGCGCCAAGAAGGCGGGCAGTTTGGCAGCCGCGGAAGAGCTCTGGACTTCACCAGCGGCAGCTCATTGAAGCCCGGCCAAGTTTCTTCAGACTGAGTCCCTGAGCAGCAGCAGCAGCAGCAGCAGCAGCAGCAGCAGCAGGTGCAGCGGCAGCAGGGGCAGCGCAGCGCCAGGTGCAGCGGCAGCAGCAGCAGGTGCAGCGGTACCAGCAGCCGCAGTAGTCAAGGCAGCAGCAGCAGTAGTGGCAGCGGCCGCAGCAGCAGCAGCAGCGCAGCAGGAGCAGCAGCAGTGCAGCAGCAGCAGCGTCGGCTGGCTGTCTGCGTCAGTGTGGCTTCTTCTGAACTGCTGCAGCTGCTTCTGGGTTTATTTTTTCCGCCTTTTCTGTTTAAAGGATTTAAATAATATTCGAAAAATTAAATTTTAAAATATAAATTATTTTAAAAATTAAAATTAAAATTTATTATTTAATTTTCTTACCACAAAGTCGCCAAATTTTGCTGAGAGTGTCAAATTCGCCTTGGCCCGCAAACAGCGGCCGACGCAGCAGCAGCTCCCCGAAGATGCAGCCTGCAGCAGCAGCAGCAGCAGCAGCAGC